TCTGAGTGTAGTGTATAGGGATGCAACATCCACAGGGCCTCTGGACCCTGCAGAAATGCAATGGGAAGGTTTTAGGTCTTCCCAACTTGTGGGATTGGCTGAGGTCCAAACCAATAATGGCTACATCTCTAAGTTGAATAGCCAACATCTGGGTTACATTTATAATCCCAATGTTCCAAGGAGATGTAAGAATAAGTTATGCAGATGCTGAGTGAGAGACCCTTGGAAGGGCACCTGTGCAATGCACTTAAAAGCATTTTCCCTCTCTGGCAACAAGCCAGTCAGCATGGGGAAACTCAGGCCCATCCACTCTGTGCCACCTCAGAGACTGTTTCCTTCCTTGGGGGATTTGGGTGACGGGGGATCTGCCTGCATCCCCTAGTACTTTCCCTATGTGTACACTGGCTGGTGAGTGCAGTACACACAGAACCAAGATGCCTGAGAAATGGGAGGCAGTATACAGCAGGAAACCTAAATGGGTCTAGACTTACCATCAAGAAGTCAAATCAGCTCAGTATAGAAATCATTTGTCATGACCTTGCAGGGGAATACAGAAGACAGCACTTTAGGAAGGCAGGAGGTCAGAGGAGGGAGACAGAGTGAGGAAGATAAGGAAGAGGAGGATGGGAGCAGGAGGAGGAGAGAGAGAAACAGATTAATGAGTTGGATTACACTGGAATTTGGAACCTTGATTCTTGCTCTAACTATTGAATAGCTTGCATACTTCCAGGGGCCACGTTCTTTCTCTCCTTGTACTTAAATCCATCAGATAGCTCCCTACAAGTCTGAGCTTCCTGGTTGGGAGGGAATGCTGCCTTCTCCAGCTGATCTCACTTAGGTGGCAGGTCAGTTGGTGGGACGGTGCATGAATTTAAGAAACCTTATATTTGTTCTGCACGATAGTTCTCAAATGTAGGCAATATGGTTTTTCAATTCCTACCATTTTTTAAAGTGGTGAGAATCCTTAGAGAAGGAGGGTCTGAACTGGCACCTGTAAATTTCTGAAAGACATGCGTATGTACAAAGATATGAAAGGTCCAAGTTTCAGCATTAATATGCATTATTTGCTATAATTCAGAAACATTTGAAATTTTGGCTGGGCTGTTTATGCTGTCTTGCAAGGAGTCTATTTGCATGCCAGACAGAGGAGGCTCCTGGGAAATAACTCACAATAAATGCAGAAAGCCTGCAGCAGATACGCTTGGTCCAGTAGTAAAGCTTCCCTGTTGGGCTCGGGGAGCAATGTTTGTATTTACATCATAAGAGCCTTCACTATCTTAAGTTTGGGAATAAAGAAGAGGTATTAATCCTTCAGGAAAAAAGTTGCTAAGCAAATCTGATCTATTTTCAAAAAGAAAGTTGGTAAGATATTCATGAATAAGGATCAACATCCAAAGAACAAGTGATCAACAGTAACTCCAAAGAGCAAAAGAATCCTCCCCAAATGGATGAAGGATATACTGTTACTTCCTAGCACTGAAGATACCCAAGAACATGGTGGACTGAAGGCATCACTGTCCAATGGTAGCCCTATGATGGGCAACTGAAGCAAAGGTAACAGTCCTGCCTTTACAGGAGTGGACCAGCACAAAAGAGAAAGAAAATGGTGGCTTTCATTTTAGGCTTTATAGAGGTTGTGTGTTAATTGTGCACCTGATATGTAACTATTTCCCTTGCCTGGGCAAGAGAAATATTGCATCCCCTCAGACAGGGCAATTATTCTCTGGGAGTACAAACAGTAAGGTTGATTAGGTAAAATGCAATTACCTCTGGCCACCTTCCTTGGTCGCATGATGAAAGTTTGTATAAAGGGTGAATGAAGCCTAGCTGAAACATGGAAACACAACTCAGCCAGCATTGCGTGAGCCCCTGGATCCTGCTTTGCCTGCAGCCTGCCTATACATGCCTGGACTTCTCAATCCAAAAAAAAACACTTTTCCATCCTTTAAGTTTAACTTAAGCTAATTTGAGTTGGAATTTTGTCACTTGCAGCTGGGAGTTTATCAGTACACATGAATTATTCCCTTAGAATTTCCCAATAATTAATTAGGGGCTACTTGTGCAGGTAGATGGAAGAGTTACAATGGTAAGCGAAGGCAAGAAGGGTCATTATGTATAGTACACATGAGGGGGGGAAATGCAGAGGAGCATGTGAAGTTTGTTCTCAGGTTAACCTTCGTCCGCTCAGTTGCAGATCTCTCATTCTCCTCTATCTCTTTCAATGTTGTTATGGGTTGAATTGTGTCTCCATCTCCTGAAAATAGACCTTAAAGTTTTAACTCCTGGTGCCTCCGAAAGTTATCTGATTTGGAAACAGGGTTGTTGCCTGTGTACTTAGTTAAGATGAGGTCATACTGGAGCAGAGTAAGCTTCTAAGCTAATATGACTGGTGCCTTTAAGAAGAGGAGAGACAAAAGAAGAATGCTATGTGATTACAGAGGCATAGGTTGGAATGAATCAGCCGCAAGGCAAGAAATATTGACAGACACCACCAGAAGTTGGGAAGAGACGAGAATCTTCCCTTAGAAGTTTCAGAGGGAGCATGGCCCTGCCAAGAACTTGATTTTGGTCTCCTAGCCTCCAGAACTGTGAGACAATAGATTTCTGTTGTTTTAAGTCACTGATTGTGGCAGCCCTAGGAAACTAATACAAATATCTTCGTCTCCCACTTCACCTACTTTGTTGCAGGGAAAAAAAAAAGTCTTATAGGCTTAATCATTTTGAGGATTCACTATATTAAAATTTCCTAGGAGATTTGCATTTGAAAAGAGAACTGATGAGAGATGACAATAAATGAATATATAATGATGGAATTTTAGACATAGAGGTAGGGCAATCTCAGAGCCCTGTAAGTCTCTAAGTGTCCTTTATAATTACGAGGGGTTTCAATATTGAGTTTCAGGGTGACTTTAGGATTTTTAGAGATGTGTCAGAAGCCATTGTGGAAAAGGGGATGAGTGACAAGAGAAAGGCTGGGGGCTGGGCTCTGAGACCTCACTCCAGATGCAACCAGAGTAGTTCTCTTTTATGTTTTGGGATTCCATATAAGATTTCATTAGGAAAAAGAGTTCATATGTTAAAATGGATAGGTACTATTTAACTCACACTAAGGAAAAACATGTCTTTTCCTTTTGTCATTTCTGCAAAATGTGCCACTTACATACATGTTTACCACTAAAGCAGAGAGCTGTTAGTTTCTCTCAGGAATCTAGGGTGAGGAAATAGGAACACACAGGAGACACCAGCATTATGCCCCCTCTTTTGTTTTTAGCTATTCTGATGGGTGTAAGAGGACAGATTAGCTGTTTTTCCTTTATTCTTCTCTTTTTAAAACTAAGAATCAAGATATTCATGATCCAAAATCTGCTACAAGACTTTAAGTAAAAGTACATAGTTTATTCAAGTTGTTGATTTATTGGCTGTCTTTCTTTTTATTTACTTTTTGCCATTGGATAACAGAGGATGCTATCAGGATGTATTATTTGCATTTGATTGAGGCAGAAGTAGTACTTGAATACAAAAAAATTTGTGGCAGATGCTCAAAAAGTATGTGGGAAAGTGTGGCTTTTAAATCTCTGCAATTGCAAAAGTATAATAACAATTCTTACACATTCATGTCTCTTTACACTTACACACACGCATTATCTCACTGAAAACGCATACCTGGAAGTTATGCTGGCTAGTTTTTCTATCATCATCCCACAGATTGGCTCAGGAAATCAGTCCTTCAAGGCTTGAGGCCAATTAGTGAGAAGCTGGGACCTCCAATCATGTATCTTGAGACCATTGCTTTGTACAGTAAGTAAGCGGTGGGTTTTTCTTTTCTCCCCCCCCCCCTTTTTAAAAAAAAGAAAAAAGAGGGATGAGGTAGAGAGAGGTCTTAAACACCTGAAAAGGTCCGTCAGGCCTACTTCACAGTCACCACTTCTACCATAAAAGCTTAAGTCAGAGCTTGCTTTGGTCGTGTATTCGATATAAGCAACACGTCCTAGGAAACAAATAGGGAATACCACCATCAATTCCATTAAGAAAATTCCCCAGTTAAACATTTGAATCTCAAAATACTCTCCAAATCATAGTAGATAATCTTTCATCCACCCACTGTCTTACCTTCAGTCAAGAGGCTCAACCAGTCAACCCAAGTACACCCAGAGCTCAGCGCTGCTGGGGGAGGGGTGGGGGTAGTGTGGGGGCAGGTGAGTAGACGCTCAGTTTATCCCAGGAGAATGGATTCTGGAATGCCAGAGGAGTTTTCTTTTCCTTCTTTGTCTTCTTTTGACCGCCCCCGCCCACTCCCCCTGCAAACTCCTCTCTTAAGGTTCCGTTTCCAGGTTGGGTACTTTGAAAAGGAACGGGTGAATGTGGACTGTCTGGTTGAAGAAGGAGGAAAATGATTTTTACTAGTACGGGCCGCTGAAAAAATAGATCAGGGACAGAGAAACTTTGTAGCTCAGGGAAAAACACCACGTTGGAATCCAGGCTCCAGGCTTCAAACCCAGGGGCTTTGTTTTTGTGTTCTTTATAAAGTAGCCCAAGGGGACAGCAGGCCGTGTAAGTGGGAGTTCCCACTTCCCCGATTTTGGCTCCAAGGGCAGATGAATCCGAAGGAGAGGAAAAACCCAGAGCTTCCAAAAGCATCCTCTGGTGATGAAATGGAGTTTCAGGGTTGGCCCGGGCAAATGTAAAAGTAGAGGGGGAGTAAGAGGGGGTGTGCTTATAGAGGCCTTAAAAAATAAAGGGGACACAAACTGTGAGCGAGAGGAGGGGAGCAGAGAGGCGGGGTGTGAAGCAAAAGGAACGAGTGGGACGCTGCCCGCGCCCGCGGGGCGCTGGGGTGGAGTGGGGGCCCGCGAGGGAGTCCAGGCAGTGCCGCGAGCGAAGGCGGGGAGGATGGCCGTGACATCATGCCCGGGCCCCCTTCTCCTAGCCGGGTGGGTGGGGCGTCGCCGCGCCGGCGGGCGCGGGGTCAAGGAGGGGGAAGAGGAGGAGCAGGCATGAATGTGTCTGTGTGAGGACCGGAGCGAGGCAGAGGAGGCGTAGGAGACTGAGGAGGCGGGGGCGGGGGGCAGGAGGGAGCGCGCGCGTGGCTCGGGGCGCCCGGGCTCCCCCCTGTCCCGGACCCGCGCGCCGCGCCGCCTCCTCGCTAGCACCGTCAGCTTCGCAGCTGGGATCCGCTCTGGCCGCGGGGAGAAGGCACGGCCTGGAAGGAGCGAGAAAGCAAAAGTAAGGCGAGCTGCACAAGTTTTTCCAACTTCGCCCCCTGCGGCGGCAGGCGTCCAGCTGCTCTTCGCGTCCCCACCGCGCCAGAGAGTGGCGTAAAGAAAAGGGGCCGAGCGGGGGCCTGGGAGGAGGAAAAGGGAGCGGGAGGGTGAGGGGAGAGTGCTGCAACATCTGTTAAAACTTGGGGGAGGAGGAGCACGGGCTGGAGGAGTAGGAAGAGGAGAGCAGGGAAGGAGGGAGAGCGAGGGAGGGACGCGCAGAACCGAGGGACAACTTTTCTACCGCTTGAGTTGCGCGGGCTGTGCTGGGCCCGAGCAGGGGATCACCGGCGCGGGTCTCCTGGCTGGGATGGGACTTTTTTTGAGAAAGTCGACTGGATGCCAGGAGAGGCATTCGGTGGGGGCTTGCTTGCTTTCTTTTCCCCCTCCCTCCTGTGGGTTAACCAAATCTGAACTGTCACTCAGGGCCTGTGAGTCAGAAGGGATCGGATTACAGGATCCCTGAAACCGATGCCGGAGCTGCACAAGCGGGAGGGAGCGGGTTGGGGCACCGCCACCGGCGCTCTTGCACACTCGCGGTCGCGCACACTCACCGCCCCGACTCGCCCTCCCCGCGGCCGCCCGCGCCGCACGATGCCGGCGGCCCGCGCTCCCCGTGCCCAGCCCCGTCGCTTGCAGTAGCCCGAGCGGCTCGCGCCTCGCGGAGCTGGGAGCCGCTTGCCTGCTTCCCGGACGCGGGTCTATGGGAAGTTAGGGGACTTGACAGCCGCCGCCACAGTCTCAGGTACGTCCCGCCCGAAGTTCTTTGTTTCGCGGGCCCCGCACGGGGCAGCCAGCTCTTGCGGGCGCGCCAGCGTTTCCAGGTCGAGAGGGGGGTCCCCAATGGGGGGAAACAGGAAGTGAAAATGGCTGTCAGACGCTCACAGCTTTAGATAGCAACGGTTAAGGCGTCAGAGCAAGGCTTTCATTTGCTTCTTCTTCCTTGAAGCTCCCTTTCCAAGTATCTGGCTCCTCGGCCTTCCGAAGACGGACTGGGGAATTGCACATCCCAGAGGGGGACGAAGTTTGCAGTAGCGGCGACGGCGCCCTTCACACCCACTCCCCACTTACAGTGTGTAAATGAACGACATTAGACCCCCAAAGCTCGGGCGCCTGCCTGTGCACTGTTGCGTTCCTCTCGGGTGCTGGGCGCTGGTGAGTGGCTGACGGGTGGCAGGCGGGTCCGCGCAGGGCTCGCTGCGGTGCGGCGTCCTCCTGCCTGCGCCTCCTTTCGGAGGGCGGGGGGCGGTGTGCTCCCTGGGAGAGGCGCGCCTCCGTTGTAATAGAGGAAAAGTGAAAGTTGTACCATCTGTGTATGATTTGGGATTCTTTCATATCTTTTCCTTTTCAGGGAGAGCGCGCGCGCGCACACACACACACACACACACACACACAGCCCCACACACCCACACACCCACACCCACACCCACACCCACACACACACACACACAGAAAAAGTAAACGCGTTAGGAGCTGCAGGGAGTGCGTGCCGGGGTGTGGGTAACGGCGGCCCGTGCAATAATCATTTAGGCTGCATTTCGCAGAGCAGAGTTGTGTATGAAACACTTTGCAGATAACAGTTACTTTCTTGAGTTAGAAGGGAAAATAGGCCGGAGGAAGTGAAGAGGAAGTAAATATTTACTCCAAACTTGGAGACTTTGTGAAACGACTTTTAAGCAGATTGCTAGATGCCAAAGCTCCACTGCATACCCGGGCCTTTTATCCGTCCCTGAACTTTGTGCCCCTGTCGTTGATTGCACCTGCTTCAGGAGATGCCCTAGAGAGGCTGGACCCCGGCTTCCTTTGCTGACCGCCTTGTAGAAGGAGGCTTAAAGAGGCATCCTCCTTGCAGTCCTCCTGTCCCAAACTTCTCCTCCCCCCGGTTTGCAGTGCTGAATAGATTCTGGCCTTGGGTACAGTGCTCGTGGCCCTCTGCCAGTTTATATGTACATGTATTTATGTAAAACATTTTCTTCCAGCTCTTTGCCAGCTGTTCCACATTTTCCAGCTGCCATTTCAGTTTGAAATGATGGACTGTCCGTATCTCCAAGTAAAAAAGCCCTTTAGTCAGAGGTTTGGGGACACAAAACATAATTTTTCCTTCCACCTTCTAAGTTATTCTGGGTCAGCTAATAATTAAATTAACATATGACAGATTAACGGGAGAAAATGTCCAAATTTATTACAGATGTATATGTAGGGGTGCCCTAAGATAGGAGACCCAAGGAGGCATTGGACAGTTGGGGTTTATATGCCACGCTCTATGAAAGAGAGGGAGGCAGGGGTCTGGGATTTCAAAGGGAAAGTAGGCAATTTACAGGTAGATGAGAAAAAGCAAACATGTGGTAGACAAATTCTTACTGGGCCACCCAGAAACAATTGGACATAGAAGTATATCCAAAAAACATGCTTTGCTGTATTTCTCTCTGTCTGCCACATTTAATTTATGTTATGATTCTGTGGTGATGCTCCCACCCTTTAAGCAGGTTTTTTTTTCCTATCTGAATTCATTTAGGCAGGCAAGTGGGAGGGCCTCAAGTTCTTTCTGAGTCTTTATTTCTTAGTAACCAGCCTAAAAATCAGTATCCCAAAAGACTTATTTTGTGATGGCAAAACTTTGGTCCCTCGGTGGGATGGAGGGCCAACCACAGTGCAAAGGTAGTGCTATTAGCCCGACTAGTATTATTAGTTCTAAAAACACCTCTGGTCTCCTTTTCCTTTCCTTCTCTCCAATTTGTTTTTCTAGAGCCCTTTGTTGGAAATTCACCATCATTAGGCTTTTCCCCCAGTTGTGATTTTGTACAGAATTTGGATGAGGCGATTTTTTAGATCCCTGAAATATGTGCCTGGTGGAAATAAATTAACTTTTAAAAAGAGTTGCAGCTTGAGTAGATTGGGCATGGCTGCTGGTGGGGGGCTCTGCTTTGGCCAACAGAAATGATTTCATTTCAGTCTATTTAAAGCAGGAGCTATTCATTCTTCCCCCGTTACACTTATTGTGTTTTTTGAGTCTTAGCATATTATAGACTGAAATCTTCAAGAATTGGCCTAAAGTATTAATTTTGCGTATTTATGTAATTGCTGTGTAATTTGAATAGGTGCCTTATTGATTGATTCCTGTAATTATTTCATTTAGGTTTTAAATTAAAAATTAATAATAGTCTGACAGTTTCTTAATTACATGTGTCAAGATTATTTTGAAAGGAAAATGCTATGTTTTAAAGTAGTGAAATAACCTCAAAATCCCTTCATTTTTTTCCCTAAAGCATAAGAGTATTTCAGTTGTGGGGATATTTTAAGGCAGTGGTGATCATTCTTAATGTAAACTGTATGAAGTATCTAAAGAATCTGTTTATGTTAGGAAATATTGGTCTTAACAGCCTGGTACATAAACACTTTGGCCAGTTAGGCTATAGTCAAACCTAAAACAAATATGAAAAAATACATAAATTAGTTATAACAGCATACTTACAGAGAGAAGATAATTTATGTTATACTAAAAGCTATTTAATTAAAAACTCCCTGCTTAAGTGGGGCTCCGTTAGGGGTGTATAATTCTTAAAGTCGGCCTAGGGAAGCTTTCGTTTAATATGGCTTAATGATTCCAATGTGAGAGATGTCTTGTGAAGCACTTTAAAAGGAGGTATAGATTATATTATTATTCATAGGTTAGTTGGTTCAACTCAGATACCTACCAATTCCTGGTATCTTTAATGTATTTGTATTCCTTGATAAAAGCCTGGTGTAAACACATTTTGTTTTATGACTGGTTTGCAGAGAACTATACAAAGAAATGATGAGAAAATGAGTACTGATGAAAAATGGCTCTGGTGAGTTATTTCATTACTTACTTAATGAGTCATTAATTTATCAATTTGATGCCCAAGCCTAAAAGTTGAACTTTCCTTTGTTTCTAGGCCAGTTTTCTTAATTACCTGCATGCTGTAGGAGTTCAGACTTCTGTGCTTACTTAGCCAGAGGTCCTTCCTTCTGTATAAGGTATCTTACTAAGATCCTCCTCCCCTGTTTTTTTGAGGATAAGGTTTGGGAGTTTATGAAAGGAAACAATTTAATGATCATTCTTCCATGCATTCACTTATATGGACAGTAATTAACTTGGAAAAAAAAGTCTTGAAGGAAAATGGAATGACTCATGAAATCCTTAAGAAAACCTTAGCAATGGAATGTTAATGCTTTTATACTATAGTAGATTATCTTAAAAGTCAGACTTTCCTTCTTTATGCAATTGTTGTAAATCCCCAGCTGAAGAATTCTTTGAAGGAGGCTTTAGTTTTGCTGGCATTCATATTCTATAGTCAATCTGATTTGTTTTGGAAGATTCAAGAAATTTTCTGCCGACTTACATATGAAGGACAATTAAAATGTTAAGGAGACTATAGAGGAAATGTGTGAGTATTTAATGTGTTCAGCAAAAGATTTCACTCTAATAATGATTTCAGGTTGTCTTTTAATTAAAGTCTAGTAGAAGATGCTATCCTTCACTTCGTGTTGTAGTTTTTCCAGATGAAAATTGATTTGTTTTAGTTTCAAAGCAAATAAAGGGAGACAGAATAAACAACAACAAGGCAGGGGTACTGCTGCAAACTTTTTCAAGTACTTTCAGTGTATTTTTTCATCTTTACTTTTATTTGACGGGCCTGTGAAATAGAGCTGTAGACCGGCAAAGACTTTAAATGAAATTTCACACTTTGATGATTTTTTTTTAAACTTTGATATATTGACAGCAAAAGAAGCTGCAAAGCTTTTATATAACTTGAGCAGTAACGCCAAGCAGCAGTCAAATGTCTCTATGCATTTGTGTTTAACTGCAGAAGAAAAACATGTCCATGGGCAGTAGAGGTTCTTATCAACCCCCTAATCCCAGATCCCAGCAAACCTTAAGGGCATGCCTCAGATCTTGCTGAAATCACTGTAGACTCTCACAGTTTGCAGATTAAATATGCT